CACTATTCTGCCTTTTAGAAAAATTGTGTTGGAAACCAAGGAACCTCACCGACAACACACGAATCTGGACGCACGATTGGTAAGAGCCACAAATCGTCCTGTGAGAACTAAACTGAACTGAACACTCGATTCTTTACAGACAATCGGATACCTCAACAGTACCACAGATACTCCAAATTGGTAAGTTCCAGTCGAGCTTTGTGTATTTGAGCCGACACTTCAATTGTGATGTTTTCATTAGATGAGATATAACTACCCAAATAGAGAACATTTTCTTCCTTCCATACTCTTTATCCAGTTTGAGTGGGGCTGGGTGCTGGACCAGTCCACTCCTGTAGCAACATTCTACACTTTGGAAGTGCAAAACGCATGCCGAACATACTAGCACCCGGACTATCTGAAAAGCGTGCAACTTACCTGGGTCTTTGCTTAGGAGCACAATGTCGTCAGAATATTCCAGGTCGGTCAGTCTGAGAGCAACTCGATGACCCTATCTTTGCATGAGGACAGGATCCTACTCTCGATAAATTAATTTTTATAATTTTTACCGAGTTTTCGTCGCAAAAGAGTTGGCAGTAAATAAGCAAAACACGGAGACTCAGTCTCACTTACAGGACAATGTGATCAACCGAAATCACTCAAAACGGATTATCTGCAAAACATAAATTCATGTGAGTAATGGAGAATCTGATTCAATTTTAAAGGGGAATTAGTCGTGTATATAATAAATGAAGCGTGAACTGAAAAGATAGGAAGCACGGACAGTTGTTTTGATCTGGTTGTGTCGTATCGGTAGTGTGAATTCATCTACCCGTGTTCGATCCCCACTTGGGTCGATGGATTCGCACTGCTGATGAGACACAACCAGAGCAAAACAATTGTCCGTGCGTCCTAGCTTTTCAGTTCACGCTTCGTTTACTATATACACAACGACTTCGCCTTTGAAACAACATAAATTGTTATATTTTTACCAAACAATTTTTATTGTTGAACGGTGGTGGCTAAGTGGCTAGGTCACCGAAATATGACCCGGAAGTTCCGGGTTTGAACCGCTCCACCGCCGCCAGTCTCCGTTTCTATTTTCCCAGGCAGCTTTGGTATGGTCGCGACCCCCATCCTGAAAAGTTGTCTGCACATGTGTATATTTAATAAATATAAAAAGAAGTAAAATGGTATTTACATTAACAAGACATTCAAACAGGTCTTTATGCAGAGGGTCGTAACCAACCTTACCTAAATGAGTGAACAAAACTTTCTTTCCAAACCACAAGTCTCAATCATACATATGACAAACCTTCTACCGAACCAGAATATGGGATAAAATAAAACTGATGGTATTTCTACTGATCCATCAACTGATCAATATCAAAATGGTCCCCATGAATTTTATCATTTGCTCTAACCGCTTTCTCGGCATTATCCGGTTCCTCCACAACCGGCTTCCTTCCTACTTGATAGCCAGCTGCAAAGTTGAATATACCTGCTAACTGACGACAGTGGCATACAAATGCACATGCATTGATCTTATAATCAGTTCCGTCGCATGCTGAACAAAGAAAGGGGAGGATGAAAAGCAAACAAGCACTGTGCAGTTGTTTTTACCAAAGTAGGTCTCATCATCAGTGGGAAGATTGTGACCCGATTGGGGATCAAACCATATGTGGTTACCCAGGCTGAACGCATGCATTCTACCCTCTGAACCAACCCGGGGACAGCTGATCCAACTGGTGCAGTTTGTCTTCATTTATATTATTTAGAGCAGCTCATATTTGTCAGTCTATTGTGAGCATCTCATCCCAGGGATTTTAGCCCGATCGAGACCCTGATCCGTAGGATGCACTTCACTTCTCATTGTGCCGTGTCTAGCTGTGGTAGATAGATATTGTGGACCGAGAATGCAACTATTCGTGAACCGAGGCTCTTTTGGGCTTATTGCTTTTTTAACAGACTGATCTTATTTAACAATCTTTCAGCTTCGCACTAATACTGCAGTTACCTGTATCTGAATCCGAGTGAGTAGGCCATTAATTATTCCTTTGTGATAAATGATGAGTGAAATTTTCACTCTGGATTCAAAACTTTGTGCTTACTCCCAACTGCTTCTGTGAGCCTTGTTCGTTCAATCCTGATTGGTATTTGGTCTTTCCCAATCTCTGATGAGTAGTCCACTTTCGATTCTTTTGTTGAAGTTTTCGTCTCCGTTGGAGGGTTGAGATGAGACTTCGAGGAGATCGTCGCGGGGTTCTTCGATATCGTTGTTGTCTTGCCATCCAAACTGCGCGCCGTCTTTGACGAAACTTTTCCTCTTTCTGGTGCAGGGGGAAGAAGTTTCCGGAAAAAATAGATGACAAATTGAAATACGTGCCCGGTTGCAAATTACAATTGAAATAATAAAGTTATTGTCAACGGCTCTCTAAGACCTAAGGGGGCTATACAACACAATGATTTAACAACTAAACAGTTTGTTAAAACTATATTCCGGTTAGATTTGTACATAAGTGGAATTCCCTGGAACAAAAATCGGTGGGGACCAAATATGAAACACTCAGTTATCACGTGAAATACTATCATTAGTATGGTTGTCTTACTCTCGGTTTAAATGATCCAACAAAATTTTCGAATCCTCATTGAAACAAGAAGCCAATGCTTAGTGAAACGCACTAACGCAATAACTGAAGCAATGGTAACATGATCCCAATAACAGAAGTGTAGAAACCACACTGAATTATCAAATGATTGTCATCCGATAGTGTTTCTCGTCCATACTGAAATTCCGCAGCCACGGAAATGCCACACAGCTGGAAGCGCGTAGGAATTCATTTATTATGCAAAAATCATAGTCTTCTATAGGGAGAAGAGAGGATTTGGAAGTGCATATATCCAACGATTGAATGTATGGATTGTTGAAAACCTTCTTGATTGGCTGGCGGTTCTGTTCAATCCTCTGAGTTTGGTTAATCTTGTTCTGATTGATTGTCCCAGAACAAGAAGCATCTCAGAATGAACTCGCGGTCACTCCTTTTTTACTATTTATAATTTCGACATAAAGCCCGCATTTGATGTTGAAAACATTTGTGTAGACTTCACAACCGAGTCTCAGTGCTGATACCCTTTGAATTAACAAACAGACACTTATTCCGCGTAAGTTCTACTGATTTCTACTTACCCGGGTGTTTTGTTAACTTTCATTATATACAACACCTGTTGAGATACAAGTAAGTGATGTTTTTCTGCAAGCCAGTAAACCCTTATCCACCTTCGATGAAAAAAACAAGTGGCTGTTATCCCCAGTCGGTTTAGAATGAAATGTAATTGAGACCTTTGCCGTAAACATTTTAAGATGCCGTAAATGACGGTGAGTAAAAAGCTTGTTGCTTCAGTCAGTTTCGGTCTCATTGACGGAAACCAATCGAATCTTTACCTATTTCTAGACAACAAGCTCTTCTATTTTGTGGTATAAAAGTTATCTTCCAGGCGAAAACTCGCCACAGCCTCACGCTGATGCGACCGCGAATTACTGGAAACGTACTTCATCTACTTGCGATACAAAGGATATTCCGTGACATTTTGATATTGCCGAATATGCAATGCTCATATTTAACCGTCTATATGTAGCACATTGTTTATCAACATCTTTGGAATCCTTTTTGATTTAGGCATGAAATGAAATATTCCAAACTGTGCATGCATACGTACTATTTTTGTAATAAACCTACTTGAGTCGAGCATATCTGTCCAGCAGATGTGTGTAGAAGAAACTTACCATCAGCCGCAGTGTATGTCGAACCAGNCTGGAAAGAACGTAGTTCGCTCCTGGGTCACCACGTTCACCCTTTGAAAGCAAACAAATAGCCCGCATGAGTCCTGTAACTGACATCCAACAACAAAGTGATATCTTGGATCCTCCAAATGCAGCATTTTTTAAAGTTGAACAGCTGTGAAACATCTCTGCTTTGTGTACTCAATGTTGCGGACTTGCAACAGCTTGCGCTGTGCTTC